AGGGCAGGGGGAGACCGCGCGCTCGGTCCGCGGGAGGACGGACGCGGGGCCCCGCGGCCCCCCACGCCGTCTGAGGGATCTCAGACGCCACTTGAGCCCCGGAGGGAAAGGACCAAAACCCAAGCTGCGATTTCTGGGTGGTAGCGAAGGGGGACTCAAACCAGACGTCGTGTGTTGTGCATGCATGCTTCTTTTCCCCGGGCCGCGCCAGTGTTTCTCACTGCCATACGCTCTTGTCAAAACCGCATTTGTTGTATAAAGACGGGATCGGTGTAGTTAAAAACTTGCGAAGGGACTTTCCAGTTGACATTCTCTGGGTCTGCGTCCTCACTTTGGAAAAAGACGACCATCCCTTTCGTGCAAAGCGAATGTAAATATATTCTTGAGATGGATGCAGTTTTGATTGTCTCTGTCCTCACCATAGTTTTTCTAGAGACAATGGAGAGAGAGAGAGAGACAGAGAGACAGAGAAGCAGAGAGATCGATCAAGACCCAAGTTTTGAGTCTCAACTCCGGTCCAGGGCATGACATCTCCTCTGTGGGTTTTCCTTTCGACAGCAGTGTAGGTCAAAAGAATGCATGCACGCTTCTAAATGAATCTTGTCTAACCATGTTGTGCAGGCCGTAGTGCCATTTTTCCTTGTAACAAGGATTTATTCGTGAATTCTCCGAAGTACTCCATATATCTGTCTGTGGTTGTAGGGATTGAACAAGGGGCAGAGTGCAAAGACGCACACTCACGCACACGCGCTTCTTCCCCCCACCCTCTTCAAACTTCATTCCAAACCTCCCTCGGCTGTTGAGGCCGTGATTGCTAAAGCTCGGGCTCATTCTAGTAGCTTGCCTCACCACCCTTGCTCAGCTATTCTGCATGTGGGGTTGGCTCTCTCTATTATCAGCTTTGAAAACTTGTCGTGGTTTGGGGAGAGGTGCCGTTTTTATTTTCCTGAACATTTGCTTGAAATATTTTGTTAGGGCCTCAAAGACGATACCTGTCTTTATTTTTTATATATTCTTGATAACTATGATATATTTATTAATAACCAGTGTTTCTGGATGAGATTTCAAATAAAAAAGAACCTTTAAATCCTGGCTTTGCCTTTGTATAAAATCTTAGGAGACAGGGTTGAGGGATGTGGTGTACCTGGGTATGGATGAGAGATTTGGAGGGGTGGTTGGATGTGGAGATTTTTCTCTGTGTACAGGTAACGAGGATGCGTACAACAGTGTTAATTATGGCAACCAGATGTCCTTCAAATGGGGCATTGTCCATGTTCACAGTCTTATTAAGCTATTTGAGCTCCTTATTTCTCTGCAGTCATCAGACCCTCATAAACTCAGCAACTGAGATTTCAAAAAAGTAACCTGCAAACTCAAAGTGCCAGGAAATGAGAGGCAGAGTGGTGACTACCCCGGCTGTGTTGGCAACAGACAAGAATGAAGCAGTAAGTGAACTTCTTTTCACTTTAAATGGACCCTGTGGTCTCTTTTTCTCCCATGTTAAAGTCCGGTACGTATATGTTTTAAAAGTCAACAAAGAGTGGTTCTAGAGAATAATTAACTGCTCACCCCGCCTGCCTGCCCCCTTGGCAGCACATCCTGCAGAGAAACGGAAGGCCTTTCTGCTTTGTAAGGTGAGCTCCGGGGTGAGGCAAATGACCGCCCAAGTCTCAGCATCCTGCAGGTTTATAGCAAGAGTTCTCCCTTCTTTCTTCCCTTAGAAGACTGGCGGGCCTGGTTATTGGAATACATTGGGCATTCTCTACATAAATGTCAGCTGAAACAGGAATCATTTTAATCAATTGCTTTTCTCCCTCATCTCCCAATAACACTTCCAAATAGTTTGTAAAAGCAGGAGTAATCCAGCGAGAGGTTTTATCTATGTACTTAGACAAGAAATCAAAACTCCAGCAGTGATAACCCCAAAAGCACAGACCTCTTTTTCCCCCTGAAGAAAATAGAACCCTGATTGAAATAGAACCCAAGATTTGCTTCTGAATTAGATGTAATATCACCTTCCTTCTGGCTGAGGCCCAGACTCCTCTTCAAGAGACAAGGCCCATGGTCTTTTTCCAGGATTCAGCAAGGAGAGTGCATCCAGGAAGCAGTTGCCCTTTCCTTCCAGTGTCCCAGGAGGCCTGCCCAGTGCTGCTCCTCTTGGAAAAGGCATCTCTGTGGGTTCGCCTTCTATCCAAAGACTTCCCCTCCATCCCTTTTCACCCTTCCACCACCACTCCACCCCTAGCCAGGGAGAAAGACTGAAGTGAGGGTCTACAGTGGAGAGTGCTCATTTCCTCTGGTTTTAGGCAGACAAATGGGGAAATAATCATCTGTTTCCCAAGGGTGATTCATTTCTCTGGGTGAGGAAAGAGCCTGTTGAGGATTTATTTGAAAACAACACAAGGCAGCCCTCCAGCCTTTCCGGAGTTTATTATTTAGAAAAGGGAGGAGGAGGGAGGAGTTTCATCAATCAGGAAAACGACTTTCTTCTGAACCACTTGCTCCTTTGGAGTCCTGTTTCCAAAGGCCTGGTTCTGGGGAAAGACTGTGAGCCTTACAGTCAGTGATAGGCTTCTTGCCCTCTCTGGAGCTGAGGCTTAAATTGGGGGCTAGAGGCTGGGCTCGGTGGCTCAGCCTGTAATCCCGTGCTTTAGGAGGCCAAGGTGAACGAATTGCCTGAGCCAGCGGGTTCGAGACCCGCCTGGGCAACTTGGTGAGACCTCATCCCTACAATAAATCAAAAAATTAGCCAGGCGTGGTAGCGCGCACCTGTAGTTCTGGCTACTTGGAAGGCTGAAGCGGAAGGATCGCCAGAAGCAAGTCGAGGCTGCAGTGGCCGGGAGCAGCCACTGCACTCCAATCTGGGTGACAGAGATTCCAACTCAAAAAAAAAAAAAAATGGGAGGCTAGAGAGGAGGAAGGACACACTCTTTACACTAGGGGAGTTCTGGCATCAACTTGAGTTGCCTGCAGTGGTCAATTTAAATTGAGAGCTGTGACATCCACTCTCATGAGCTGAAAGGAACCCCAAGCCCAGCTCTTTTTTGGGGTTACAAAAGTTCTTTTGGCCTAGAGATTAAGAGAGAGGATTTCTTTAAGAACAGGAGAGGAGGTCAAGGAAGGTGATTTGAGAGCCATGTCATCTGGGGTCCCCAGATTTATTGGGAAGGAACGGTCTCCACTGGTCTTTCCGGAAAGGGACTGGTGATGGTGTGAGGGCTGGTCCACTGGGGATGTGAGTTTGCAGGCAGACTTTTATTTTCATTGCATTTCCCATTAAATTTTCGAATTATCAACACCAGAAACAAGATGGCATGGTCTCAAAGGTGAAAATGGCTCTTGGCCAGATTTTTTTCATTACGTACTTGTCACTTTCTCCAAAGTTCCCAAGTTTAAATTAGTTTTTCATTCAGTCTAGAAACAGGACGATAGTCCTTTCATTCAAGATTAAACACTGCTTTACATTTAAAAGGATTGTGAAAGCCTGGCGGGCAGAGACACCTTGGGGGGAGGGGGTGGGGGAGATCAGCAAACTCTGAGGGTGGAAGAAAGTCACACTGAGGAGGGGAAAGTGAAGTTGGCATTGACTTGGCCCACCGATCTCTGTTTGTAAGGTCGCTGTCCCCTCTCTCTGGGACAGTGGGACATTGGGCTGATGTCCCACAGAAGGGCAGAAAAGAGGCCCAAGGTGGTGAAGCCTATGGTTTCCTAGCTGAAACAGCAGGAGGACTTGTGTTGCAACTTATTTTTTTCCAGCTGCATGGTCCAGCAAGATTTTGTCACCTTCAATGAGGCTCTCAGCCGAAATCACAAAAGTCCTCTCCCTCAGGGAGGACAGTGGATCCCCTGAGCACCAGATTTAACAGCACTTTCCAGGTCCCTTCCAGAGGCCCGGGTCCCTCTCTCCTCTTCCTCCTCCCACCCCCAGCTGGGATTCGAGGGTGACTGCTCCCACCTTCCCCCCTCCCGATTGGATTGGGCTCTCCACCCTCCACGCCCAGAAGGGAAAGCTCCTGAGACCTCCCTGCGATACTCGCTACTCCCCCCTCCCACCCCCCCGCCGCCCATGGGGACCTGGTACTGGTCTCGACACCAGGACCCCAGGGAGCCTTCACCATCCTGAAGACGTCCCAAGAAAGGTCAGCTGTACCCCTCGGGAGCTCTTCCGGAACTGACCTGGCTTAGGGAGTCAGGCCCTGGATCGCAGCAACTTCTCTTGCGGGCATCCCTCATGGAGGGACCCCAGGCGGGAGGCCACCCCAGGGCCACCCCTCTCCACCACTCACCCCCTGCCCGAGCTGAGAAAAGGGACCTGTGGAGATAGGACCTCCGGGCCAGGCGCCCATCTTGGCCTCCGGAATTGGGGTGCCTCCTAGTGAGGGCGACCCCCGCTGGGTCCAGGATCGGAGAGGCCACCGCAAAGAGCTCTGGAAGTGTCCTTGGAACGTACAAGGCCGAGGGAGGGGTCCTCAGCAGAGGGAGACACACCTGCAGCTCCAGCCTCCGCCTCCGGGAAAACTTGTGGGACAAGTGAGCGCCCCTTTCTGGCCCCCCAGCCCTGCGACGCACCCAGCGCCCTTATAGGTGGCGGAAAGGAGACAGACTCCAAAGGCTTGTGTCTGTGGAGTGTCTTTTTTGTTGTATCCGTTTCCAGTGACGCTTCTCACAGGGCACTGCGGTCTCGAGGCTGCGGAGGGGCCGGAGAGGCTGGGGGGCGGAGGATGCAGAGGGGGTCCGCGCTCGCGGTGGTCCCCAGCCCCTCGCCTCATCGCCCGTCTGCTGGGTGCATGGCCGCGCCCGGCTGGGGGTCCCAAGGTCGGGGTCGAGTCCCGTAGGAGGTGTCAGTCCCTGGGCTCTGACCCCAGACTCCCCGCTGTCCCGGGGTCCCCTCAAGGCAGGGGTGGAGAGACTAGGGCGCAGACGACAGCAGAGAGAGGCGCTGGAGTCTGCCCCTGGCGAGGCCGGTCCTGGACTGCGCCTACGCCTGCAAGGACCTCGAAATACCTACGCGTTTCTGGAAACCCGGAGGGAGGAAAACACAAAAGTAACAATGACAAACTACTCCAAACCCCGTCTGACTGGCGTTCTCTCCTCTCCATTTCTGCTCTGGGCTGACACTCCCCGGAGTCTGTCAACTTTGCTAAGGAGACCCGGGCGGGGCCGTCGCGGAACCGGGGCGGCGGCGCCCACCCCAGCGCGTGTCCTCGCTGGGACATCCCCATCCCCGGCCCACCCCAGCCACGGCCCCCAGCTGCTTCCGACCCCAGCCTGCGGCTCCCGCACCAACGTGCGGACTCTTGTCCTCGCACCCAGGCACGAGGGCTGGAGTGAGTCCCCGGGGGCTGCGGGTGGGAGCCGAACCTCCTGGGATCAAAGCCCCAGGGAACTGAGAAGGAGGGGTGAGCAGACTTGGGAGTCACCGCCCGCTGCTGTGTCCCGGGGCTCGGGAGTGATTGGGCTCCGGCCCCCCGAGAAGGCAGAGGTGGGCAGCGCCCGAGGGCCGGCGAGTCAGCTTTGGGTAAGTGCCCCGAAGAAAGTCTGATGGGAGTGCTGTCCCGCCCTGATTCGAGCAGAACCCCGCTTTCCCTCGCGATCTGCGCCCCGCACCTCGAAATGCAGAAGCCCGCGCCTGATTCTGGGGTGCCACAGTTGACACGCAAGCATCCTTCGCCTTCATCGGGCTTGGAAAATTCCAGAAGCAGGCTGTTGATTCGTTCGTCCCTCACTCCCCGGACGCTGCAGGACTGCGGTGCCGAGAACGCACGGCTTCCACTAACAGGATCCTTAATTCCACCGGAGAAAATAGAGGCTGCAGCGGTCATTTTATAAGGACTTTTCTCCTCCTCCGGGTTATTCAGTCTCCCGCCCCTGTCCCGTGTCTCTTCCTCCTGCCCTTGGAGAGGAAAGCATTATTTGAACCCATAAGTGAACATACAGGAGTTTCTTTTACTCTTTCTCCACTTCAGCAATGACCATTTTCTGAACTCTTCGGTCATGCCAGGAGCTGTGAGGCGCCGCAGGGGGGAAAAAGAAAAAAGAAAAGAAAAGAAAAAAAAAAAGATAGTAAAACAGCCAGAGAAGTAAGGTATTCAAATGCATAAGAAACGGCCCCCGTTCTCTGGGCCCTTCAAAACCCAGCGGGAAAACACGGTCACTGAAGTCCCGTGGTAAAAACGCCACTGGCCGCCCAAAAAACACAAGTGCTGCAAGCACGTTTTTTAGATGCTTAGAAAACTCCCTGCCCGTTCCCTCTACGAGAGAGGACAGGAGCAGATGCTTTTGATTAATGTGGAAATAAAAAGACGCAATGGTGGCAGTACTTAGTTTGGTCGCAGTTGTTTCGAGATTTATTGACACAGAGATAAACTTCAGTCTGGGGCATCTCCCGTAATTCATGTCCCCATTAGTTAGTAGCAAATGAGCAAATCGTTTTTCTTTTAACTGGATTTTTAAAGAAAAAAAAAAAAAGGAGGGGAGGTTGGGGTTTTTTTGTTTTTTTGTTTTTTTAAAATAATGGAATTGAAGTCATTATCCCCCTTGTCGCCATAATTCCCCCAGCTACAGAAACTTGCCTCTGGACTCCAGAGTTCACCAGGCTGTGTTCTAAACATAAAACAATCCTGTAATTTCCTTCAAGAACAAAAGTTTTCAAAGAAATGACCTGCACGATATCCCCCTCAATAAAGCAGAAGTGACTTAATGGTCTGTTAATTACTCCATCCCTGCAGGGAGAGGGAAGTTTCCGAATGGATCCCTACAAACCCTCTGTTGGCTGAAGCTGTGGTCTGTCCCCATATGTACAGCTGGGGCCGGGCCATTGAAAACCCAGACAAAACAAAATCCCTGATAAATAATCCCACCTAGAACACAAAGATCCAGCATGCAATTGTTGGATCTGCGCTGGTTCCTCAGAGAAGACCCGAGGGAGCTCCTTTGGATTTTCTGGTAATCTTTGAAGCTTGAGGCCTGGGATTCTTCCACAAAAGTTTAAAAAAGAGTTTGTTTGACTTCTCTGTCCCCTTATCCCTCTGAGTTAAATTTCTTTCTCTGTAGTCTGAGACTTTGACTATAATTTCTTGATCCAGTCTTCTTTTGTACTAATTACAGTTTGTTGCATCATTTGATACATTTTTAGTTTGATTGCAACATTTAATACATTTTTGTTTTCCAACTGATTCCAACTGTTAATCATTTGACTCTGAGAAGACAGATTTTGTGTGTCATAGCAAGAAAGGGCAATGTAGAAAATCAAAAGATAGGAGGCAGTTTGAGGTTGTTAGCAATTGTGTGATATAATTAAATATATTTATCAAATGTAAAAGTTAACCAGCTTTGTTGGGGCTCAAGTAATACTGAGCAATCATCCAGTTAACTTGGCATCAGAGACAGTTAATTGGAAAAATTCAATTTTCGAAGCACCTCTTTAAGAAAAAAAAAAAACATAAGCATGTTCTACATAATTGAGAAAATACTAGTTTCAAGTTGGTATACATTTGGCCGTTGTGGGCCCATTTAAATCAAACATTGCAGAAAGGTGCAATCTGTCTGGCATCTATAGAGATGGTATTATAAAAGTGATCAAGATGTGGATACGAACTGTTTGGAATTTAGTTACTTGCCTGAACTAGGCAATCACAGGAGAAGTTTGTCATCACAAGATTTGCCACACCCACCATCACATCTTAAGGAAGTGACCCTGAAGGGTCAGGTAGTGATTAAAGTCAACCTTTGCCATCCTTGCCACAAGTGACTGGACCAGATAGTGATGTATGAGCTCATGGATACAAGGCTGGACATGAGGGAGGCCAGCTCAAAGGTGATGACATTAAATTATGCCCATCATTGTGCTTCATCTAGAATGATGACAAACACTTTTCTCTCACTGGGAAAATATAAAAGTCTGGTGAATCAAGAAAAGAACCATTATTTAAATTTGGCTTGACCCCAATCAGTGCTGGACTTCGATGCTGCTTCTCTGTATGGCTAAGTGTTTATCCCAGTCGTATGAGAAATGAGATCCAGATGAAGGGCACACATTGTAACCCGTATGGCCCCAAATAGTGTTGTCCTTTTTTTGGAGTTGGAGTCTCACTCTGTCACCCAGGCTGGAGTGTAGTGGCACACTCACGGCCACCCCAGCATCGACCTGCTGGGTTCTGGCAATCCTTCCACCTCAACCTTCCAAGTAGCTGGAACTATAGGTGCGCGCTACCATGCCTGGCTAATTTTTTTTTTTTTGAGTCGGAGTCTCACTCTGTCACCCAGACTGGAGTACAGTGGCCGCTCCCGGCCACCACAGCCTCGACCTGCTGGGCTCCAGTGATCCTTCCGCCTCAGTCTTCTAAGTAGCTGGAACTACAGGCGTGCGCTACCACGCCCAGCTGATTTTTTGATTTATTGTAGAGATGAGGTCTTGCTGCCCAGGCGGGTCTAGAACCCGCGGGCTCAGGCAATCCACTCACCTCAGCCTCCCAAAGGCGCGGGATTACAGGCTGAGCCACCGAGCCAGTTTAATTTTTGATTTATTGTAGAGACAAATTTTTGATTTATTGTAGAGACAAAGTCTCACCAAACTGTCCGGGCTGATCTTGAACCCGCAGGCTCAGGCAGTCCATTCACCTCAGCCACCCAAAGTGCTAGAATTACAGGCTGAACCACAGAGCCCGTGTTGTCCTTTTCAATGTTACAGGCCACCTTTGCATGTCTGCACAATGCGACTTTCCCACAGTGCCATATAGAGACAAACATGAAAAATTAGAAGACATTTTCTCTTGATAATTTGTCCATGGGGAAATAGAAGCAGAAGAGGCGATTTGTTTCCCATTTTTACTAAATTATATTATTGATTAGACTCCAAGACTGAACAAAGGACAGTTTTAGAAATTATGCTGTCTGATCTTGCAGAGATGGGTTAGTTTCTCCTTTGCAGAGATGAATGTGCCCAGGTAACAATGTCCCTTCCCAAAGGGCATTTTGATATGAAAATTTTTTCATTTTTTTACCCTTAGATACTTGGTTCTCTAGCATCATCTTCATCCTGTGGAATGTTTGCCATCCTGTGGAATGTTTGCCATATATATATGGTTGTTGTTGTTGGAGTGTCACTCTGTCACCCAGGCTGGAGTGGGGTGGCACACTCCTGACCACTGCAGCCTCAACCTGCTGGGCTCAGGCAATCCTTCCACCTACCAAGTAGCTGGAACTATAGACATGCAGCACCAAGCCTGGCTAATTTATTTTTTTTTACTTATTTTGGAGACGAGTTCTCGCCAAGTTGCCCAGACTGGTCTCAAACCCCTGAACTCAGGCAATCCTCTCGCCTTGGCCTCCCAAAGTGCTGGTATTACAGGCTTGAGCCACCATGCCCGATCTTTTTCCAGTCTTTTTTTTTTTTTTTTTTTTTTTTTTTTGAGTAGGGGGAGTCTCACTCTGTTGCCCAGGCTGGAGTGTAGTGGCACACTCACAGCCACAGCAGCTTCAACCTGCTGGGCTCAGGCAATACTTCCACTTCAGCCTTCCAAGTAGCTGGAATTATAGGGACGTGTCATCATGCCTGGCTACTTTTTTATATATTGTAGAGATGAGGTCTTGCCAAGTTGTCCAGGCTGGTCTTGAACCGTGGGCTCAGGCAATCCTCTCAACTTGGCCTCCCAAAGTGCTGGGATTATAACTGGAGCCACTGTGCCTGGCTGACAAATTTTTAAGTAGAAAAATATTAAGAAATGTGTATTATATTTTTCACAGTAAATACTAGATCTCCATACAAGGAATTTATATTTAAAATGGAGAAACCTAATACTTTTTTGAAACAACAATTTTATTTAAACCTCAACCA